TCATCGTCATCACTATTTGCATTAAGTTTCCGTTCTAGTCGCCGTTACATATTACGAATTGGAATTGTATGTATATATGTCGAGAGCAAAAAAGAAAAAAAAGAAGAGAGAAAAACTTTGAAAATCAATTACTTATAGAATGTTGATCGCAGTCAAGTCAAACTAACCATCATGTTAAACTATGCGTAAAGACATCTTCATTTAAACATAAATATATATATATATATGTTTATCCTTGCCAAATACTTATCATGGAATATGAAAGATATAAACAAGGCTCATTAATCACTCAATTGAAAAAAGCCAAAGTATTTTTTAATGAAGCCATCTAACAAACACACAATTACAGCATTGATATTCATATGCTGCTAATGACCTTTTAAAAAATCTTTATATACTTGTTTAAATAATGTGATAAATGAAGAACCGATAGTGGTGGTGGTATATGAGTCTGTCACTCAACAATAAAGAAAATATTTCTCTTTATTCTTTTGTCGTCTTTTCTTTTTTTTTTTTTTTTTTCTTCTCTTCTATCGTCTTTTTCTTCTGAAAGAGAGAAAGAAAGAAAGAAAAAGAGAAGCAAAAGTTATCTTCTCCACTTGAAACAAATCAACTTGATTTCTTTTTTCTCTTATAACTATACATACAGACTGACAGAGAGAGCACAAATAAAAGAAAAAAAAAATGAAAGTAGATTCACCGTGCTGAGAAATAATTTCCGTTGTCCATTATTTTTCTTTTTTTATTTGATATTCTTCAAACATTCAATTGTATGTGAATTGAAAAAGTATAAAGAATAATTTTAATTGTCGATGCCTATCGAATGTTGTCTATTGTCATTATTACACTTATTATTCAACAATTTTATTTAACTTATCAATTCGAAACAATTCAAGCAGCTTTATCTAGTACGATTGAATTAGCTTGTTCAATTACAAATGAAAATAGTGAACCAACAAATCCTGCCAAGGTAAATGCCAAAAGGGACATATGTTAATGTATATATATATATTTGACTTGACTCATGCAAAGAACAACAGTAGTTTCCAGGGGATATATAATAACAGCATCATCAGTTATGAACAGCTGGTGGACATAAGCATGATTTTCCTTTCTTTTCTTTTTTTCTTTTTTACAGATTGTCTGGATTCGTGATGATCAAGCAGATATTGTCAGTCTTGATTCAATTATAACCGTACGAGATGATCGTTTAAGTATTCTATCAATGAATAATATTGATCATCAAGAAAGAATTTTACGTATAACAAATATTGAAGAACAAGATCATGGATTATATCGTTGTATACATGGTGATATGACATTAAATGAAATTTTTCTTGATGTACTTAGTAAGTATGTTGTCTTTTTGTCATTGTTTAGGCGATAATGTATGTTTTTATATGATCATATCTTTATTTTGATCCTCACTCTTGGATTCATTTTGACAAAGCAAACATATGTCTGAGGTGTACATATGTATATGTTGACTGACCTTCTCTCAACACGAGTGTTGTTGATATGTGCCCATAGACATATATAAATGAAGAGACAAAAACAATCCGCCTTATACGTTTACATTTGGATCTTATGTATATATACGTGTGTATGTCTGTTTGTATTGACCCTCCTTCAATAGGTGGTCTCTCATCAGACACATATATAAATCTATAAGAAATACATTTAATATGATGAAATCGCTTAACACCTTTTCTATAGACGTGTGATTTCCGTTTATTTCTTAAAAAAAAAAAGAAAATGTACAAATTAATTAATAAACATAAATCATCTATTATTATATTAATGATTTTTATTTTACAAATTAATATTGAATCTTCTCTGTTGTATTCAATTTATGGATTCTTATTTGATATTAAATAAAAGAGTTGATCATTACTATCAATATATAAAAAAACAGCTGTGTACATTGAATGAACACATACACCTAAACTAATTGTTTTTCAAGTATGACATCTACACCTTTCATCAATGACTATTCAATGAAGCATTAAATGAATAGAAAGACTATCAACTTATTCTCTAGACGATAATATAATAAACATAAGAAAATGATTGATATGATCAATATAAGTGAATATTCATCAAAAAATCACGTTCATCGTATTAGTTTATTCATGAACAGTATTGATTTATCTTTACACATGAGACACATTTGATATCTATGTTGTTTTTTTTTTTTTTTTGTTAGTCCCACCACGAATTGTTTCTCATTCACCAGAACATATGCGTATGACAGTTCGTGAAGGTTATGATGCTCAATTCTCATGTACAGCAACCGGTCATCCAACACCAAGTATTATTTGGCATGTCAATGGTTTATTAAAGTCAGATACAGTGACTATGGGTATTTATAAAAAAAAAAAGAAAAAAAAAAAAGAAAAGTTGATAACATTCAATCATACATATATATTTTTTTATAATTAAAGATAAAAATGAAAGTATACTTATTTTACATAATATTTCACGTTTTGATTCTGGCCGAGTCGATTGTTCAGCAAGTAATATATTAAGTACTGTTAATCGACAATTTTTTCTTTATGTTAAATGTAAGTTTAAATCTTTATTAAATTTTATATATATGCAAAAACAATTTAGATAAACCAATTGTTACAATTCCATATCAATTATTTTATTTTCGTTTATATGATTCAGCAATAATAACATGTCAAGTTTGTTCTATACCAACAACAACAATATTTGATTTATTTCGTCCAAAACAATTAAATCCAATAATAAATGGTATTAAAGAAAAATTTGATAAATCTATTAATCAAACATGTAAACAATTAATAATAACTATTTATGTAAGATTTAATTTTCGAACAAAGAAAAATATTCAATGATAATATAAATTTTTCTTATTTTTAGTTAAATGATGCATCTTTATTTGGACCATATGTATGTCGTGCAAGAAATTCATTAGGTGTTAATCATGCTGAATTTACATTGAAAGGTTTTAGAATGATTATTAGAGATAAACCTTGATTACTCTGTATTTTGTTTTTTTTTTTTATAGAAATAATTCAATCAACCAAGCATATAAAATATATAACAGAACAACGTCCTTCAATAACATTGTCTATGATTACTAATCCATCTTCATTATCAACATTTATGACTAATAATGATAACGAATCATGTAAGTTTTTTTTTCTCTATAGAGAAAAAAACAATTCATTTATTTTTTTTTTTTTTTATTAATGTTTATTTTATAGCTAAACGTGATATTACAAATCAAATGATATCTCAAAAAAATCAATCATATAAATCGCCAATATCAATTTTATTATTAATAATGTTATTCTTTATATTGATCTAGTCGTAGATAGATTGTTGCAAAAAAAAAACAAATTTTTTTTTTCTATTATTTTTGTCCTGTTTTTTTTATTACAGTGATTAAATAAATAGTTTATAACAATTCTAAAAAAAAAACTAATACTATACATATCCTTACATTGAGATAAAGACAAAAATTATTAACGAGAGTTAGTTTTTCATAAAAAAATTATCCCGTTTGGATTTGATCATATGTATCAAGAGTTATCTATTGGAATTTATTTATAATGAAAAAAAAAAAAAAAAATTTACAATTTATTTATGTTCTGGTTTATGTAAATGTTTAGCTTTCATATCAATTAATGGTAAATGAAGTATTTTATGTAATAATAAAGTTGATAATTGTTCGAATTGATCAATATCAATATTATTGTTATCATCATTAGAATTCTTCAAATCTAATAATAATTCATGTTTTGAAACCGTTAATTGTGTTTGATTAAGTATTTTAATATTTTCTAACATTTTCATTGAATATTCATCATATTGATTATATTCATTATATAATTGTTTAAGTTTAAGAATTTCATTTTCTAATTGATTATTTTCATGTATTTTTTTATCAATAATAAGTTTTAATGCTTCTAATGTTGATAATGGTTCAGCAATTTTCTACGAAAACAGAAATATTTTTCAATATAAATTTTTTTTACAAAACTATTTACTGTTAAATATTTATTTTTTAATTCTGTTAATTGTTGATCAAGTTCCATATTTATTTTAGCACTTGTTTTAGCTACATCACTATCTGTTTTAATACGTTTTTTTGATGTTTCATTATTTATTTCACCATTTGATAAATATGTTGAACATATTGTTGATGTTAATAATGTATCATTAGTTGTTGATTGAATAAGTTCAAAAAGTTCTCGTTCAATTTCTAATTGAATATAACGTTCAATTTCATTTCGTACATGAATTTCAAGTTCAGCTATATCATCAGCTGAACAAGATGGACCTTGTGTTAGAGTAGCTTCGAGAAGATGAAGAGCCATTTAAAATGAAATAAAAAAAAAAGAATATGAACATTGCTAAACATAACAAAGACATTGATTTATAGTGACATCTAGAAAAATTTTGATTGAATAATTTTAACCAATAAGAAAGTTAATTAGAATTTCAAATATGTTTTGACATAAAAATAAAAAAAAATAATCGATTTGTGTATTTAAACATTTCTTGTACAAATAATAATAAAATCTATTTATTCTCTATAGACTTATCGAATTTCAATGATGCATCTAAGAACTTAAGAAAAGACGAATATTGAAGTTTATTAAAGATTTACTCTCAAATATTTTCTGTTGAGAAACATGCAGCAGAAGAGAGGAACAAATTGTTTCCTAATGTAGAAATCATCCATAAAGGTGGTACAGACAAAAGAAATCGTCATTTTGAACGTTCTCTCTTGGTTCTTCTTGAATATCTAATTTCCAAAAATTTTCCTAGAAGAAATCTATTTCTTCAAATATCTATCTTATATGTCTTATAAATAGTTTTGATCAAAATAACTTTCACTTACAAAATTTCATAAAAAAAAACTTAATATATGCTTTCAAATGAACTCAACATCTCTTATAGATATATTTTAAAATAGAATTTATTTCTTATAATAATTGTTCTTTTTTAAGTATATATATATATATATGGATAAATATCGTGTACCAAATCGTATAAATTTATTACGTGCACGTGAATATGGTCTTGAAAATTCTTTTAAACATATTGAACAAACACGAAGTCTTGCTAATTTTACTCTATGTAAATATCGAAATTTAACATATTATCATCATTCATCAATATCAACAATGTCTTTAGAACAATCTGAATATCGATAGTAAGTTTAAAAAAACAAAAAAGCATGTTTTGTAATTATATTCTAATTAATTATATTATTAGTCTTTTATCTGGTGGTGCTAATGGACATATATGTTGTCATGATATGTTTCCTTCACGTTTAATTGCAACACATCCAATTATTTTTCAAATTGATCGAAATTCTAATCGAAATCATCATACACATAATATTTGTTCACTTTTATGGTATCCAAATGATAATGGTTTATTTATAACTCTTAGTTTAGATAAAAAACTTAAAATTTGGGATACAAATCGAGTAAAAGTAAAATAGAAGACAAAAAAAAAATAATAATAATTTCATATAAATTAATTTTAACTTTTTTTTTTTTGTTTTCTTAATAGATGGTTGATGAATATGAATTTTCTAATTTTGCTTATTCAGCTCATATGCCATCAACAATAAATACATCAATTATTGCAATTGCACATGAAAATGGAGATTTACGTTTAATTGATATTCGTACTGGTTCAAATTCACATATAATTCATTCACATAATAAAAAAGGAATATGTTTAGTTAAATGGTTTAATAATAATCCAAATTTATTAGCAAGTGGAGGGTAAAGAAAAATTTTCTTTTTTTTTGTTTTTGTACAAATGAATTTAGACAAAGTTTTTTTTTTCTCATAATTTATCTAAAATAAACTTAGAATTCAAAAATCTAGTTTAATCAATCCGTTGTTGTTTTTTTAAATTACAAATATAGAAATAAATTGAAGATTACACTTCATAAATCTTATGTGACATTTTAATTTTATATTTTGATCTATTAAATATTAATTATTATTGTTTTTTTTTATAGAGCCGATGGACGAGTACTTTTTACTGATATTCGTAGTTCTAATAAATATTATATGATTCTTGATCGTGATAATATATTAACAGATAATCAACAAGTACAAATTCGAACAACAACATCATCAATAGCTCATCATCATGGTATAAAATCTCTTGAATTTTTACCAGATAATTCATATTTATTAACACTTGGTACAGATAATCATATGTATTTATGGAATGTGAATAATGGTAAACGTTTACTTGTTAATTATGGTCCAATGTCAACTAATAATATACGTATAATAACATTAGCATGTATACAAATGAAACATGATCAAACAAAAAGTCTTGTTTATGTTCCATTTGGAAAATCTATACGTATATATGATATTTTATCTGGTGAACGTTTAATAACATTAAATGGTCATTTATTACCAATTAGTACATGTATATATAATCGTTTATCAATTGAACTTTATTCATGTTCGGATGATATACTTATTTGGTCTGATATTAAAAAACAACAAGATGATTATGAATTATCAATGAAAAGTCAAGAACAAAAATATGAAACAATTAGATCTTTAGGACAAATTTTAAATCGAGATCAATGGAGTGATGATGAAGATTAATTTTAAATGATTTATTTGTTTTTTTTTTTGTTATGTAAATTTATAATTTAAAGAAGTTTTCAAGAAAAAAAAAAATAAAAGAACAGTGATATCAATTTATTTAATCTAGTTTTATTTGTTATTTATAAATAATAAAGAAGATTCTAAGTCAATCAATCGGATACAAAAACAATTGAATAACTTGATTCATATTTAGGATTGAATTCGATTAAAAACTATCAACATTTCCTATTGTAAATAAGACCTTTGATGTTGTTTGTAAATTTTATTTTTCATAGAAGTCATTGGTTTTGAAATTGTTTATTTGAAAAATTTTTGTGAATATTTTTAATTCATCTTCAATTCATTATCAATATAAATGACAAATAAAAGAATATAAAAATAAATTTATAACTATTCATTTCTTTTCTTTAATATTATAATACAAGAAAGAAAATATTTACTTCTACATTGCAATGTAAAAGAAAAGAATAGTTGTACATATATTTTTATGCTTTTTGTTTTGTACTTGTCATTTGTGTTGATAATGAACTGAAATTCAGTTGAAAATATTCACAAGAGTTTTGAAAATAAAATAAATTTCAAAAATAATAATAAATCAACTCGTACTCTTTCTACGCTTGAGTGAAGCTGCATAAAATTCATAATAAATATTCAATCAAACTTAATAATAACCAATCGTAACTGTTTCTTTTTCCAAATTACCTTCATTGAAAAAGAGGCAGTGAAATAAAATCACATGGGTGACAGGTAAGAAACGACGGAGAAATACCTGAAAAGTGGTGTATACAAACGATATCTTATTCAGCAAGTAAAAAAGAAAAATATTATTCGTTACCTCGTGTTTCGCACTACACAACAAACACAAACAAACTTGCTTTCGAAATATTTTGCAAATCTATACAATTACTACAATTGTCGGGATTCAATAGCTGTTCCAACCAGTAACACATGTAAGTAATTCCAAGTGTCTGTGCAGAAAAACACTAACGAACAGTAAAAATCTGTTTTTTTTCTAAATACCGTTGTGTTCATCGATCAGACAGAATCGTAGATGAAAAATTTGGTGGGCTTCACCTTTATCAAGTAAAAAATTATTTGTATATTAGAAAGTTTACTAAGAAAACATAATTCAGTTCATTTTGAACTTTTTTTTGTAAAACGCCAGCTGGAAATCTGAACTTAGTCAGTTCGTTAAAATGGTCCTGTTTTGAGGAGTCTTGAAAAAGCGAATAGTAGGAATAAGAGGTCTGTCTCACCGTTATAGCAAATGATTTTTTCATTGAAAGACACTATATCTTAGAAAATAACAAGCTAAAGAACAACAGCTTGAACACACGGTGGTAAGACCAACTCACTCAACATCAAAGCAAAATGAGACGAGCTGAAGAACAACCATCAACTCAAAGACTAAGAACTGAAGGGCAACCACGTACGCAAAGAATACGAGTTGAAGAGCAACCACGAACCCAGAGGATACAGACTGAAGAACAACCACGAGTTCAAAGAATACGAGTAGAAGAGCAACCACGACCTCAAAGAATACTAGCTGAAGAGCAACCACGAACTCAAAGAATACGAGCTGAAGAGCAACCAAGAACTCAGAGAGTACGGGCTGAAGAACAGCCACGACCTCAAAGAATAATAGCTGAAGAGCAACCACGAACTTGGAGGGTACGGGCTGAAGAACAACCACGAACTCAAACACCGCGAGCTGAAGAACAATCGCGAACTCAAACACCGCGAGTTGAAGAACAACCACGAACTCAGAGGATACGAGCTGAAGAACA